AACCAATTTCACACATATATAATATATTTTGGCATAAATGCACTTTCAAATATGTCTCACTTCACATAGTCCTCTAAAGACACAAATAAATATTCATATTCATCCATTATGTAATAAAACATTAGAATGTAATTTTGTAAACACTCAAAAGCATCTAAACAAACATGCAAAAGGATTAGATTATCTAAGTACCTTAATCCTTTTATCACAAAAGTGTTACCTGTGGCAATTAACTACTCTTTTAGCCTTTACTAACTTAAAAGGATCTAAACAATAATTAATCTACAAGATTAAACACTGATCATTAAATTACAACTCTAATAAACACAATTTTAGGCTAAATTAGGTTATCTTCACCAAAATTTGTCATTAGCTTAACTAACACTCCAACCACATGCAGAGTGCATCCACTATAGTAGATGGCATAGTAAGGCTAAAATGAATTTCAGGCTTTACTTTAAAGCTTTCTTGGCCTGAAACCTATCCTAGCCTTAATCTAAAGCCATTATAGATTATGACAAGTCTATTAGTGTTTTGAAAACTCAATAAACTTAATTTATCATTACTTTACTAATTTACCCTTATTAATCTCTTAAGCTTTTAATTCTAAAATTAAGATGTTACAATTCTCATTCTCATTGTTACTATTTTATAGGTGTAAGCTTCTCTGGGGGCAAAAGGGAAGGTATACAAGGCAAGGAGAAGATGAGAACTACTACCTTTGTAATACCTTTATTTGATTAATGTGTATTTATGAATATATATGTCACTATTGCTAACTAGGATGATATAATTGTTGAGTATACTTGCATGAATAGGTTGTGATATTTTATTATATTTTAGCCTAGAATGTTGTATATGCAGTGAAATTGTTATAAAAGGCTAAAATACTAACGCCAAGTGTATGTTTAATGTTAATCGACTTGTTTAGAAGTCAAAACGGCCAAATGAGACCATGTAATATGAATTATGGAGTTGTACCCCTTGTGCTTAATTGTAGGGTTTTGTATGGCCAAAATGTATCTAACATGTATGATTGGTTGTAAGATTGCTCAATTAGGAGTATGTTGGTCCTTATGACATCGTTCAAGCCTTAGTTAAGGCTAATGGTGTAACATCCTAAGTTTTTAACTTAAAACTTTGAGTGTTTAAGAAGGTTAAATTGGTCAAAATAGGTAATTTATAAATTAATGGTGTTTTTGAGATACTAATAAAGTTTCCTTTTGATGACTAGATTCAATTATAGCATGATCATTAATTTGTAGAGCCAAAGTCAACATTGTTCTTATTTTAGTTACTTGCCGTCTACCTAGTCCAAAGGTAAGGAAAAAATTTAATCTAAAATTGAAGCATGCATAATTGGTGAACATTAAATAAAGCTAAAATGATGAAACAGAAAAAGAAATAAAATAAAGAATTAAACTTTTTGACCAATAAGAAAAATATTGCAACAAAAACATACACATGTTAGATATCATATGGCCGCTTGTTCAAATATTGCAATCCAAGATTACAATGATAGAATATATCTGTATAAATCAACCTCAAAGCTCTTTTTAGATAGCAATTCTACTTTGTTGCATGTTTTCAAAAAGCAATTCTACTATCATTTGATGGCAAACTTGGGCAACTTTAGATGTGCCTCATTTCTTCATCTGACGTCCAAATGAGGTAATCTAGGTGTCTACAAAAAGCTCTTTTTATAAACTAGCTAATGACATGGTTATACTTCCAAATTAAGTTATAAAAGAAAGTTAAACATCCAAACACATTTTCACAACTTTTCACAATTTAAGGATATCCAAAACCCAACATATGTGCCAACTGCAATTCCTAACACCAAAACACACTCAAACAACTTATGACTACCTGTATAACACACCATATGCGCACAATTTGAATCATATCAAAAATTCATTCATCAACCCCTTTAATACCAAAAACAATAGGGGAAGGTTTTAGCATTATATGCTACAACCATGTTCATAATTATAATCTAATTAACATTCCCACCACTTGCATTAGCATTTTAGCATTATCGGTATTTACAAATCTCATAAACAACATTTTAGGGCCCAAAATACATTCCAACAATCATAAACTTTAATAAGTGTAAGTATATGCAAAATATAACATAATTGACAATATACTTATCTATTACATAAAATAAATGAAGTAAGAAGGCATTACGACATAAATATTCAAATTCCTAAGCCTCCGAAACTTTTTCGCTTTCCACATTAGAGCTAAAGCCTATAAAATATTGAAAGAGAGGGGTGAGTTTAGTCACTCAATAACCAAAGTACACATATCCTATGTAGTTGTATATCAATTGATTTAAACACATAAAAGGGAGTTAATCACTCAAAATATGAGATCATGCATAATACAAGTTGTAATTTCAGAATAAACTCAATTTTCATGTTTCTCATTTCAAAATATAGAGTAAATTGCCACAATACACTCGAACATGTGACAATGACCTAATGCATCAACTCAATGCACAATACCGCACACAAACATCATGTGATAATAAGACATTCACTATCATAACTTGCCACAAACTTAACAACCATGTTGTATGTCAGATATACATATATGCATGATCGATTTCTCGTTATATCCTCCTTATTTCCTCCAACTGGACTATTTAAGCTCACCAATTATGAGGTGTAACTTGGCTAAAGATGACAGTACTTTCTCTTAGACCACAGCTTTCCCCACTTTTAAATCTCTGGGGTGTCATATCTCCTAAGTTAATCTTTTCGATAAATAGGTAGAGATAGCTATATTCTAATTCCTTAACAAACTATGGGACAATCTCTTGACAAATAATGGGACAAGGTTATAGTTTTATGCACCAGAAGGCGGCCATAAATATCATATGAATTTTATCTACTCCTCTCCCTAAATGAACTCCTGCCAAATGATCATGCAATGCTTGTGCTTACTCATTTCCTAATTTACTTAACATTAACACATTATGCTTATGATAATATGTTACCTAAGTGAGTATCAATGTCATATCCACAAACATTCTCCTTTCAATTCTAAGTTCCATAGTGCATTTCAAATTTTCATTTAGTCACATATATAATACTCAAATGTTAACACAAGCACGCTAACATCACATCACCTATCATGTCTTGCTTCCAAGCTTGATTTCTCAACAAATATGGTGTTCAAACAATTAATCTACAATTAGTTAAGTTTGAATTCATCAATATTGTTAAATATACGCTTCCAAGTCTAATCTTCTAATTTCCAAAACACTTAAAGCTCTCATTTCTCATAATTAGGCTTACCTATTGAGTATTTTAAATCTTTATAGCTCCTATTAGCATCATTAGTTATTTTTAATTAGGCTCACTAATCAAAAATGCCAAAACCCATAATTTCTAGATTTAAATGCTCAAAACAACTTCCATTAACTCTATTTGAGTCATCCATAACCTATAGGGACTAAAGATAATCTCCCATTATCAAAACCTAACAAAAAATTTAAGAAAATAGGGTAGGAAGGGAGAAGAGTATGTTAGGAAACTTACTCTTACGGTTTGGAAGCTTTAAAATGCCTCTAACTTTCTTGAGAATGAAGCCTTAATAGAGCTCCCTTCATCCTCTTCATTTTCTCTATCTCTTCTCTCTGTTTTTTACATCAGTTTGGTCTTATTTCCACAGAAAATGTATCATGCTTTGCGGTGCTTGTCCCCACACACTGTGACATGTGGTATAGAGAAGGCTATTTCATGTTCTAATGGCCCATGCGCTGTAGCATACCATGCACACGCCATGGCATGTGGTACAGAGCAATTTCTCTTTGTTTTTCTTACTTTTTCATGTTGGGGTGGCACGGCTTCACTTTAGACTCAATCCTAATACTGAAAACACAACCTAAAACACTTATTAGCTCTATGTAATCATACACCATGTAAATTTACTTGATTACCCTCATTCACTCAGCTAATTTAAGGTCTTCTAGATGTTACATAGACTATGCCCGGCCTATTTAACTTGATATATCTAATTAAAGGTTTAAATTTGGCTTGAGCCTATTTAATAAATGGCTAGGTTAAGCCCAGAGTAAGCCAGGATGTAGGCCTCTAATAGGAGCCTGACCTATTCCCACCCTTAATGATAGGAGCACCATGGCAAATGGCTATTTAACTGCAGTACATGATATATAGAGCGCTAGTTGTGGCAGATGGTGTTATTGGTCACAAGAGATGCTTTGTATACCACGAGTCATAGTGGACGTGCTATTGGTCGTGATGGATGGTATGGTTTTTACTAAAATGACTCTTTTGACTCTATTTTCATTTGTTTCCAATCGTAAATAGTTTTCATCCTTCTAAATTACTTTTTACTCTGATTTTCATAGATTAAATGGCCTTTATGTTTGATTTCAAATTTAAATTTGTTTTGGAATCCCATTTCTACAAGTATTTCTTATTTAGCCTTAATGAGATTTAAACTAGCCAATGTTGATCTTAGTAACTTGCCATGGTATCTTTGTTATTGTTTTTTTTTTAATTTAGAATACCATGGCTATTCATTTTTCACCCGTTTAGATTTCAATGTACATTTGACAAAAGTACATTTGGAGAATCCAACTTTTGTTTAATTTGGCAAAAGCTAATCCCAAACATGATTTGAATGTTACCCAAATAGGCCTTAAGTGTGTTATGTAATGTGGTTAAAGGTTGGAAATATTATATTTACAATGATAAAAAAAAAGGTTTTAAACCTGATTAAAAGTGCATTCTTTATTTTTTTAAAATATATTTTTATTGATCAATTGGGATAACATGATCAATTTTTTTTCCAACTTAAATAATCTAAACCTATTTTTGATTATTCAAATCATGCGTGTGTTTGCCAAAAAAAGGCATCCGTGGGCCATGGATATTCACATGGAACGGATAATTTTTTTTTTTTTTTGCTCATTATCATTTTTTCCTCCGAATGACCGGCTGCGGAAAAAGACGCAAGTATTGAAAATGGATAAACGGGGGAAAAACAATGTTGACAAAAGGAAACCAGAACGTCTACATGGAGCCACCGGAGCCACCGATCCTTGCGGACAAGATTCTCCTTGCCTAATTTTGTGGCTCAAACCTCGTCTCTTCCAACCTATCCTTCCTCTTCATGTCTTCACGCTCGAGTAAAGTACAGATACCAGTGGCATTTTTTAGTTTCTGTGCGGAACAAGTTACAAAATTCGTTGTAGTTTCATATAATCGCCACTTTTAAGTACTTGCGACGCACATACATTCATAGATATTCATAGATACTATTTTTAAATTCAGGCTCTCTGGATGCTAACTGCTAAATCATGAGCGCCATATTGTCGGCGACTACAGCTAGTTCCAGTTTCAGCAGTAACAGTGTTTAGCGCCTCCCAAAATGTAGGCTCTCTTCGGATCTTCTTGGTTCCATTTCCTTTCCTAGAATCAAATGGGATCATAGTTTTCGCCGGTGTCACACTTCGTCGGAGCGGAAGTCTCGGTTCCTGCTAGTTCCTAGGGCTGCTGCTCCAGATACTAGCAAGGAAAGCAAGAGTGAAAATGCCCAAGATGGTGATGACGGTGGTGATGAAATTCAACAGACACAGAAGCAGCAATCGCCGCCGCCGCCCGTATCGATTAGGCTGGACGACGTGAACCCGGTAGGTCTGGGTCGAAAGTCACGCCAATTGTTTGATGAGGTTTGGAGGAAGTTCTGTGGATTGTGTCAGATATCTCGGACCATCCGCGCTGATGATAAGGAGGCCCTTGATGCCCTTCTCATCCGAGAAGGGCCCATGTGCGAGTTCGCAATCCCTGGCGCTCAGAATACTGTTGTGCTTGTTGTTGGTGCCACCGGTCGCATTGGTCGCATTGTCGTTCGCAGGCTCATGCTGAGGGGCTACACTGTGAAGGTGCCTCGCCTTTTTTCCACGACTCCATGCTTTTTAATTCTACTAGATGTCGTTCTTCACCAGCGTTTACTCGCAACTGCGTCGAACCATTCTATATCACTATGCAATTGTAAGTCGTTATTGAATATTTTAGAAGGTTACACCAGAAATTGATGCTCTTCAATAGAGTGTGTTTTTTTTTTTTTGGGCCAATATTGTTCTGCTGCGGCTGTCCGCACATGGTCTCTTTTGTGGGTTCTCTTGTGAATTATTAAGAACTGGTTGAGTTCATTTTTTGTTTTATTGTACGGGAGAGGAAAAGCAGAAAGAACTCAAGAAGGGTAATAAGAAATGACAGAATGTGCTGTGAAGGTGATTGTTTCATTGACAAATGAAATAACGGAGTCTGAGATGGTATCCCTGCTAGCTGGAAAATGAATTGAATGGTTTAAATTCATTCTAAAACGTGATGGTTGGGGAGGATATTTTCCGCATGAGCTGTTTACAAACGGTTCAGAGTTGAATGGGGTTATTTTGTAAATTTCTTTGCTAAAGCAACACTTTTCAATGATTGTTTATTTTATTTTTAAGGATCGTGCGTTGCTCTGTAAAGGATTTTGAAACATGATTGGTTACCCTTTAAAAGCTGCAAAATTAAATATATGCAGGTCATTGCATAAAAGCATCATTCTACGTAGAAGTGGTTCAAATATATTAACGACTACTAGTGACTCCATTGAATGGTTTCTTTCTTTCTTTCTTTCTTTGGTTTTTTTTTTGGGGGGCACTGAAGGCTTTGGTGAGGAATGCTGAACCAGAGGTAGTGGACATGCTTCCAAGGTCAGTAGAGATAGTAACCGGGGATGTTGGTGACCCCAGCACACTCCAGGCTGCTGTGGAAGGTTGTAACAAAATAATATATTGCGCAACTGCTCACTCTCCTATCACTGCTGATCTGTTTAGGGTTGATTACCGAGGAGTTTATAACCTTGCCAAAGCATTTCAGGTCTGTCTCTGTTATTTGAAGTTTTTAAGATCTGCCCTCGTTTGTATGTTGGTGCCGTTGTTAAGGGCAAAAGTCAATATGCCTTACTGAGGAGGAAAAATACCGAATGAAATCGAGATGAATCGTTTTACTTTATTAAATTCTACGAAGATAACGTATCATTGCATGATAATTGAAAGCCTAAACATAAGGCTCGATGGCAACTATGCATTTCAGGATTATAATAATAAATTGGCACAATTACGGGCTGGTAAAAGCAGTAAGAGCAAGCTCTTGATAGCCAAATTTAAATCTCCAGATTCATTGAATGGATGGGAAGTTCGTCAAGGAACCTACTTCCAAGATGTAATTGCCACGAAATATGATGGAGGGATGGATTCAAAATTTGAGTTCAATGAGACTGGAGAAGCTGTTTTCTCAGGTACATGAAGTGAATGTTAATACCAATAAGGGAAAACTCACGTTTCTTAATTTTTTTTCTGGTCAAAAAATAAGAGTAACCAACAAGGAACTCTTTTTATCCTTATTTGATCCCCTTTTAATATTAATTCTAGGGTATGTTTTCACGAGAGGAGGTTATGTTGAACTTTCAAAAAAGCTTTCTCTGCTTTTAGGCTGCACTCTTGACAGGTATCAGATGATAGATATGTGATGTCTGGTGGTGAGATTGTTGTCTAGAATTGTCTTGTGGCGTGCTTTTTATATAAACTTTTAATACATCTTGAGTCAAAATCTTCCATGTTAGGTATGAGGGCCTGGTCCTCTCGGTTGGTGGCAATGGGAGATCTTATGTTTTAATTCTAGAAGCTGGTCCTTCTGCAGATCTAAGTCAGGGCAAATTGTATTTTGCAAGAATTAGCACAAAAGTGGGATTTTGTAGGGTAATAATTATTTCCTTTTAAAGAAAGCAATTATTTTGCTTTGACACTCTGTTTGTTTTCATCGTAGCAAAGATCCTGGCATCACTTTAATGACTTTTATATTAACTGCTGGTATTAATGTGTCAGGTTAGAGTGCCCTTTTCATCATTCCGCCCATTAAAACCAGATGATCCACCATTGGACCCTTTTCTTGTACATACATTAACAATACGTTTTGAGCCAAGAAGACGGGTTTTTTCCCCATTACCTTATTTCTATACTATGTTGTGATGGTGGAGATCGTAACCTTTACAATTGTGGAAATTGCGTTGTACAAAAGCCATGGCAGAAAGTGGGAGAGACAAGGGACAACATCGGTTTTCTCTTGTGTTGACTCCCACATATTTCCTGCTTTCCATGCCAATTGTGTGAGTTTCTTGCTGTGAATTGCATGTAGCCCATTATTTGACTGCCTCAAGCAAGAAATTCTAACAAAGTAATTGTTACATGATTATAGAAACCTGTTCCTCACCCTTCACTTGGTCATGGATCTAAAACAAGTTATGCACAAACTACCTTAGAAAAGTTTTAGTTGTCGCAGCATTGTAGCTGGTTGGTGTTTTATGGTTCATGCTAGCCAGAAAGCATCGCTGCTCTTCACATTAATTTTCTAATCCTGCTAATCAGATGCAATGAATATGTTTCCGGCTTGGAATTTTCTTACGAGTGTAACTCTGATTTTTGTAGATATCTTACTATTTTTATCTAAATGTAGTTAACTAGATACTGTGGGATTTGTGTCTTTTGATCTTTAGTAGTTTTCTCTTACCAAGACATGCTTACAATTGTTTTTGTATTACTTCTAGTATGTAATTGAGCTTGTCTGATACCACCTGGCCCACATTAGAGTAATTTGTGTTGTTACTAGTTGAAACTGTGGCAACTACAGTATTTCAAGTTCTTGCCTGTCCAATCCAATGGCTTGCTTGCATCTTATTTCTTTACTTTAGCACTCCTAAGTACTGAATAAACATTGATAGCTCATTAAAATTATGGAGAACTTTCCTTCTGCTTGCTACCCTTTATAACATACTTTGATACTCACTTAAAACCATGTAAACACTTCTTTCTATTGGCTTTGTCATAGTCAAATTTAAATGAAGCCTAGTCTGATACCTTTTGGGTTCACTATCAAAAAAAGGAATGCAAAGTTCTACAAATAATTAATTAAACCTAGAATTGTCTTAAGGAGTTTGTCTCTAAGGACGTCTTGCCCTGATACTCAAATGACTAGATAGTAGATACAACCTGGCTTCATGTCTAGGAAACCTCCAAAATAGGGGCCTTTACTGTATTATCCTTTTCATTGCATTTCCTTTGTCAAAGGGTATAGCACTTGTTTTCACTTAGAATCTTTTGTGGACTTAAAACATTATTTAATAGCTGACATAGCATATTTCTGCTTTTTTAAAAAATATTATTTTTTTAATAAAATAATTATTGATATCTTTTCGATAGTAATTTTCCTTCTCACAAATATTCAGAGTGTGATGATGCTGTATTTGCTGCTGTTGCAGAGGCCCATTGACGTACCTACAGCTAAGAGTCAAGATTTGAGAAGCTTTAAGCTTATAATGGAGTATATAAAAGCCTTGCCTGTAGGTGCTCTTCTGCAGATTCCTTTTAATAACGCATAAACAGCCAAAATGTTGATAATGTGTTTGTCAGGTAGTCATGTACGAAATTGCAAAATCATCTAGTTCATTTGTCCATGCTAATGGCAGAGCTAATTCATACCAGTTGCACTTTTGAAGTTGAGAGGATTAAAATAACTATATATGAACTACCATTACCTTAGTTTTTCATGAGATGATGATGACTGTGCAAAGATGTCGATATGGTTAGTGGTGTTGGAGCTTTAAATGACAAGGGTGTGTTTTTCCATTAACATTATTATTATTATTATTATTTTTTGGGATGATATGTCTTACAAAGTGTGATTGTTTTGGGTATCTTGAAGTCATTTATTATCATATCATGTTATCTTATGTTGTTTAATTCCATCTAAAATTGACTTGCTCGTCCTCCATTTATTTTTCTTTCATACAAATGATATTTTTTGCATTCGAATGTTTGTATGTATCCCATTTTGTTCTCTAAAGGACGATGACACCATTTTAAAGGCTGAAAAGTGGTCAAGTTCCTCTCCATCTTGCGAAGTAGCTGCAGACAAATTTATATTTGTTACTCTACAGCAGTTGACTCTCCCACTCCCCCAACAATCTTTAATCAAGCCTCTCCTGCATGTTGAGCTATATGTGTACCTTAGTGCAAGTCCATGAGTGGATTATATCATGGTTATCATGAGTTAAAAGTTCTGGCGGTGGTTTTATCTTTTATGGTGTTGCTTTGTGAGTTTGAGTTGTCCTTTTTGGCATACATTCTATCATCGTTAGCATGCTGATAAACATTTCTTGCTCTGTTTGATGCCCATCAAAAAAATTCAAAACAGTAAGAGGGAAAAAAGAAGCAAAGTGACTCTGCTTGTTGATGCATCTGGATGATTAATATTCTGAACTACATGTTTTTATGTTAATGAAACTAATTAGCATGGTATGATGTTTTCCTGTGAGTGTACTGTGGACTGGGCAAGAAACAGATTTGTTCTAGTATCATGTTCAGGAATGGGAATTGAAAGATCAAGAAGGGAGCAAGTTCTTAAAGCCGAGCAGGTTTGACCCATTACTTGTTTTTTGTTTCTTTAATTTTGCTAAGAGATGTTTAATTTTTGACCTGTATGATGATGTCAATTTTTGGCTTTATTCAGGCTGGGGAAGATTCATTGAGAAGATCTGGCCTTGGATACACAATAGTTCGTCCTGGCCCCCTAAAGGTAAAGTTTCAGTTGCAGAATATGGAACTTTAATTGACAATTATATGCTAGGAGGCAGGGATTCTAATATAGACCCTCCACAAGACAGTGACGCGGGGTTGCATGGTTGGTTAGTTAGAATTAGTATTTCACAATATGTTAATCATGTCAGTGAACTTTCAATTGCATCTGTTGAAATCTTGTTATTATGGGATCATTATGAACTCATTTATTTATTTTTATTCTCCCTTGTTTATCACATGGGATTTTAGCATCTTAGTTGATTTGTTTCTTTCTGTTTCTATTTTCATCATGCATTTTGCCATCTTTATTATGTATTCTTCCCTTGTTTCTTCCTTGTTTGATGAGATTGGTCGATTGATTTCTAGTCTTGGCTATCTCCTTTATAAGTACTACGTATATTTCTAAAAAAGATAAATTAGACTAAACTTTTGAATTCTAAAAAATAAAATGGTACATGGTATCAGAGCTAATGATTTCTACCCTTTGATGATTCAAAATTTGCCCGGGCAAAATTTCTCATGAATTTGTTGCATAGAACAAAAAATTCATTTTCCCGACCTTTTAGAAGCTAGACCTCCTTTCTGAAGTAACTGACAAGAAAAGAGGCACACAGCCACACACTCAATGTACTCAATGCCACAATCATCCAGAGCCCGAAATTCAGCAGCCATCTGCACTGCCACTTGCTGCCATGTTCTGTTGAAGTCCATCAAATGTGCCAGCGCATGAGAGCGCGTGGCTCACCTTCATCTTCCTTTGTTCACCCGGAAATGGCTGACTCAGCCACCTCGAAGCATTTGTGGTGTCTGCCCACCCTAATATGATAGATTAAGTTCGAAAAATAATGAATAGGTTCATGGTTTAATTTAACCAAGGTTGGTGGCTAATGAAAACCATTTATTTTTGTATACATAAAACCGTTCTTTGTGTGGTGGGTAATTTTTCTAAATGAGGAGGATGTTGTAAATAATTAGTGTTCTCTTGACTTACTATGAGCTTTTGAAACGCTTTCAGGGAGAACCTGGTGGTCAGCGTGCTCTAATATTTGATCAAGGAAATAGAATATCTCAGGTTTGCTGTTTCTATTTTTTAATTATGTACTGTGGAAGCAAATTGTTTCCCTTACATTCATGCATTTATGTATTTGAAAAGATATTAACATAAGAGTATGGTTGTTTATATGACCCATATATTTGTTTGCCCATTTTTTGTTTATATCTCTTTGAGGGCCTTGTTGACATTTATTTTTGTGGATGTGGGCATACAAATTAGATCTGTTACAGTCATGCATCTTGAGGAGACTCATAAGTACTTCTCTAATTCTATTTATAAGTTACTTTCAACATGTTTTACTAATGTAAAAAAAACCCTTAAAACTCATTGACTCTATTTTAAAATTTAATAAATTTTCAACTTTACTCCTGTTAAATGTACATACTTTAATAATATATTTTCTCTCTCCAACATTCAATGGAAGGTAAGAGAGAAAATTTGTGAAGAAAATTTAAAGACGTGACTTATAAATAAAACAAAAAATAATTTTTTCTTTTTGCCTTGTAAATAGGACTGGAGGAAGTATATAACTTCCAAAGCCTTTATCCCAAATCAAGAATCATGATCACTGACATGTGCATAAGCCATGCGTGTGGAAATTCTGACAGAGCAAAACATACGTAAAACAGCAGTGTTGCTTTCCAATGATGCATATAATATTTATATGGTCAACCAAAATCTCCGGCTCGGTTAAAAAAAGGAAGAAAAATGAGAAATAAATCCATTAATTCTACATAATAGCCCAGGCAAAACTATTTAGATCGGATTCAGATCTGATCATTAGGAAAAACTAAGAAAAGAAGAATCTCTGAAAGTGAATAAGTGATAATTCAACCGTAACAAAACATAATGGTAGCTGTCACATAACGTCTAGTAAGTCTTTGATGCGTCTTATGCATAGAGTCATGGAGACGGTTTCTTTTATCTAATGGCTGGGATTGATCAAACTAAAATGATTTTTATCAGATATAAGTTCTTTTTCAATCTTTTTATTCATTGAACCATGTTCCCAGCAGTGTTGTTAAAGGATTTTATATTATCATTATTTTAGAATAATGATAATATAAAATCCTTTATACTCCTTCTAGTTCACAATATAAACATTCCCCCCACTAATTTAGATTCAAAATATAATCAACTTAGTACATGCGGAAAAAAAAATTTTCATTTTACCCCATGGATTTATAAATCTAGATCTTTGTGTAAATTTATTGTTCACACATCATAAAGTGCATGGGTAATGGGAATTAAAGGTAAAAAAGAAAAATATATATTTTTATGAGAACGAAGATTTTAACGGTATGTGAATTTTTTTAAAAATTGCTTGTATTTTAAATTGGATGGAGTAATATTCTAGCTCCAAAGACTAAATTAGCCCCTAAACTATACGTCCAAGAGCATCAAAGACCCTAAATGTAACATCCTAGAAAATTAACTCTTAATTGGCTATGTTAAATGATGGTAATTAAGTAAGTTGATGTAATGTATGGTTGTAAAGAGCTAATAAATGTTTTACATTGTGATTTCAACCCTAAAATTGAATCTGAAGTGAAGTTAGGTCACTTAGACCCTAAAATGGGAGAAAATTAAGGAGAAATGGCTATGTATCACATGTCGCAACACATGCATGACATAAGTTCAATTCATTGATTTAAATAGAGTTAATAAGAGTTGTTTAAGGTATTCAAACCCTCTGAAAAGTAATAAATGCATTTTGTTAGTTGAGGGATCATAAATACCCAAAAATTCACCATGAATGTAGTAATAGGAGTGATGTGAAGCTATTAATGGTTGGTTAGGAGTTTAATGAAGTCAATGTGACTTAATGGAATTAATGAACCCAAGGGGATGTGTTTAAAGTGAAAGATTATGATATTGGAAGCTTTGGGGGTGAGTTACATTTAGAAGATTTATCCTAATGTGGATATTAATCATTGTTGATGTGAACAAATGTAGAGTGATTACAACTTGACACCATTCAAGCTTTGGAAGTATATATTTGAGGGGTAAACCTTTGATTTTTCAAAGGTTTGAAATAACTAGAAGAAATCTTCTTATACTCTTGTGTGTTGATTAATTATCTGAATTGTAAGTTAATATTGTCAATCATGAAATTGTTTGTAATGCGAGTATGGCATATGAAATTTGAATCTTCCCTTGAAGATGTTAGGAAGTTTTGAAATGATATACTTGTGAAATTGTCATGTAATAAATGAATACTTTGTGATGTGGAGTTCAACGATATGATTTTTTGATGTTCAATGAATAATTGTGATGTAGAGTTCAATGATAAGTGTGATGTGAAAAATGTAACTAATATAAATTGATTAAGTACAATGAGGAAGTTAAGCATGCATATATAGTGATAATTGTGTATGCTTGATAATTTGCGTCTGTACATTGCATGATCATGTGAAGTAAGAGTTTACCTAGAAAAAGGAGTAGTGAGTTGAAAATCTGCATGGTAAGGCTTCCATTGAAGTTCGATGGTTTGCCTGGATATATTTATAATTATTGTCCCACTTGTTTAACAAGGGACTGTCCCATTATGTAATAAGGGATTTGAACATACTCTAGTTTTCACTTATTCGACGAGAAAGCTAATTTAGGGAGTAAGACCTTCATAGTGTGAGATTTGGGAGAAGTTATAACCCATAAGTGAGTTAAGCAACCTTGGTCAGGTAACTTTTCATGCATAATTGGCTAAGGTATTCTTATGACATAGATGAACACAATGTGAAATAGCTCATTGTTTCATGTCGTAAGCATAAGGAGGATATAAGGAGGTACTATCATGCATATTATTGATAAGGGCACATGGTTGTCAATGTGAAATGCAAATATATGTGCTTTGGGAATGATAATATGATATAATTATATAGTATGAGGCCCCACTTGCATTGTAATTAATTAATATACATTAGTATATGATTGATATACTTTAGTTACTGAGTAGTTGCACTCACCTCTCTCTTTTCAATATTATAAAAGCTAGCTTATCTAATTAGGATCGAGGGAAACAACTTGAGGTTTAGGATATTCATCCTAATTTTTAGGCCTCATTTATTCTAAGTATTATATGTATAATTAATTTTGATATTACTAACTAGGAGAGTTCATATTTACTTGCTTTCATTATGTGATTGTTAAGCTAAATTGTGTATTTTGAACTCTAGGTTATATATTAAAATTATGAAATCTAGAAAAGACAAAAATGTTAGTGCAAGTAAGAAGTTTGCAAATATGTTGTTGATGATAAATGATGTGATGATTATGAAATTAAGGCTTTTCCTTCTGTTTTTATTATTAAGGGATTAAGTATTAAAAATGTGATGTATATATCATTTGTATGATGTGGTGTATTACACAGATGTCTATGGGTCTGTTGAGTGTGGTCGAGGATGAAATTTAGGCTTTTGGCACTTAGATTGAAATTGGTGCACCTAAGTTGTGTTAGGTTTGTGAAAGGGATAAGTTGAGAAATGAGTGTTCAATTTTTGATTGAGAAATAATTTGATTGAGTAATGACTGTCTTTAGCTAAAGCTAGGAAAAAGTTTTTGTACACACCTAAATCATCTCGATCAGACATTTGATGCAGAAATGGAGCGCATTGGGAGTTCACCTCTATTGCTATTAAATGACAAGAACAAATGTTGTCATCCTATGAAATACGCTGCAGCATATGACACAAATATGGAACATGCCGTGACGTACATATGACAAACTACAGCGCACCTCTATTTCCTTCAATTTGTTGTTGTTTTTAACTATAATGCAAATGTTTTGATTTTTTTTTTTTTAGATTCTCATGCTTCCACCTACACGTTTACTTTAATTTTGATTTATAAAAGTATATTGGAGTATTTTGAAAATTTAAAAACTTGAGAGCCCATTCATATAATCTTTACAAATTTGGTAATCATCTTGAATTATTCCCTTGATTATCTTAAATTTTTGGAGATAATGTGGATTAATAAAGAAGATTTTATACTAAACTCATTTTTTATGTAATGTTTGATTTCCTTTAACTTTTAAAGATGATGCAATATAGCATCTACTATTAATAAAAGCTAATTTTGAACATTTGTTGACCAAAAATGATCTCCAAAATTATAAAAAAAGAACATTAAATTTTTCTTGATCCATTTCTTTTATTTTTTAGGTCCTTATCAATAATTTTCAAATCCTTCATTGTAAGTTTTTAATCATTTTCTTTAATTTTTAAATTTTTTTTGATTTTTTAATCAATTAATAATCAACATTAACTTTTGTTAACAGTAGAGGTCAAACTATATTATTTTTAAAAGTTAAAAAGAGTATAATATTGTATTAAAAATGAATTTAGGATCATAGAAACTCTTTGACCAACAATTGATGGGCCAATTTTCTATTTAATCCAATATTTTATTAGTAAAGGGAAAATGACAACCAAATCCGATCGAATTATATAAATAATAATTTAATCTTTTAAAATACCATAATTCTAGAAACTTTTATGTCAATAAATTTTAAAATAAAAAGATTATTTTACCCTTATTAAAAATAACAAGTCTCAATCAAAATTTTTATTTAAGAAATAATAACCTTTGTTTTGTAAATTACAAGAGTTAAACAAGAAATTATAATTTGTCAAGTATAATTTTTGTTATTGAAAAAAAAATTTGATATTTGTTTGTGCGTGAATAACAAATACCAAATATGCTAGAGACACTGAGTCTCAATTGATAACAAAAAGGGTCTCGAGCTCTTTTACTATAGTTCACTCGGATGTAAAAAGATATAAGATTTTGATAGAATAAGTGTTTGATTTTATTAAAATGTAAAAAAGTTACAAGCTTAATCTGAAAGATTAATTGATAAAATAAAGGGCTAAAAAGTGTAAAATGTGAGTCTTTGGTTGAGTGTTGACTAGTTTCTTTTATGTTTTCGTCTTCTATTTATAGCGTCAGAGTGGTCTCCTGAAGACTTAGCATGTGTTGTTGAAGAATCAGGGATCTCATAATACTCATGGCACGGTCTTTATTCCATGCTCTCCATTTCGATAATCAGCCCGTTTCACCAAGATAATTGGGCGTGAAGTCTGTAGATTTTGGCATTACTTGAGATCGTGTCTTTTGTGTCAATGGTTTAATGTTTGTAGCTAATGGGATTTCAACATATTTATTTATTATGGCCTTTATCAAGCATCGAGGTTGGCTTCTTTTGTTTATATTGGGCTTGACGTTTTAGTTACTCAGCCTAACTAGCCATGTGACTTATTTGAGTGATGTTTCATATTTTAGTCCAAATAATAACAAGTTTTGCTTAAAAAATACTCTCTCCATTAAAAATGTAAGACAATTTTTGAGGAGTTTAATGTTTAAAAATGTAAGATATTTTTAGTCTTTCGGGGTGTAACCATTACTTTTTTCAAAAGTACCCTTATTAATGAATGGCTTATAGTTATTGTAGGGTGTTTAATAGGAGTAAATATGAAAAGATAGTGTGAACACTGTATTTTGTCTTGACATTTTTTCAAATTTAATTAAAATAATAATAAATAACCAAAAAAATATATAAAAATATAAAAATAAAATTTAATCCTTTTTAGGATTATATTTTTTAAAAAATAATAATTAATAGGGTTTAATTTTATTTTGGATAATCTTTTGTTGGTTATGATTTTGTTTCTTTTAGTTCATTAAAATAACAAAAAAATAAAAATACAAAAATAAAATTTAATCCTTTTTAAGGATTATATTTTCAAATAATAATAATAATTTAACAAGATCAAAAAAATCTTATTTAAATCTTTTAAAATCTTTTTCAAATTATCTTAATCATTCAAAAATATTGGGAGTTAACTTTTGAGAGTTAAATTGCTCTCCTTAAATCTTATTTTTCATTTAAAAAAACATACATGTGTGTGTGTGTGTGAATCTATATAAAAAAAGTAATTGGAAACCAAAAAAAAATTAAATATAAGGCTGGACAGCGTTTCACCCAGCCAAAACAAAAAAAAAAAACTTCGCACCTTTGGTGCTGAAGAAAAAAGCAGAACCATACAGCCACACACACAAGAAACACACAGAAAGAAAGCAGCTCTAAAAGGACTCAGCCAAGCATAGAAAATGCAGAGAAAGAGAGGACGCACATGCAGAAAAAACATAGAAATGCAAAAAGAGACTAGACGCATGCATGTACAGCAAAACAGAGCAAATGGAGTAGCAAGCAACTAGCATATATACATACACTTTTGGCCAGCAAAAAAAAATAAACAGAATGGGAAAACACGGTATGCATGTAAGTAGAAGGATAAAAAGAGCAGACGCAAAAAACCAGAGAAAGGAGAAGAAAAACAGAGCCCGGGGACTAGAGGAAAGCCGAGGAAGGAGAGAGTACTTAGAAAGAGAGTAGAGGATTGAGAAGAGCGAGGGAGAGATTGAGAGAGAAGTCTGGACGAAGAATAGACACAGCACGGAGGAGGGAAGAAAAAAAATAGAGAGATCGAAGAAAAGAAAAAACATAGCACAAAGAAAAAAGTCCGAGAGAGGAGGAGAGAAAAGTTAGCTCTTGGAGGTGAAGATGGATGAAAGGGTTTGCTTCTGGATCTGGAGTATGAAGGAAAGAGAATGAACGAGGAGAGAGAGGAAGCAGCATAGTAATAAAGGAGACAGAGAAGAGAAGAGAGGAGAAGGAGAGAGCAGGGACGAGAAAGGAGAGAGAGTAGAAGGAGAAGAAGAAGATAGCACGAAAACAAAGACAGAAAGGAGAACAAGAGCATAGAGATGGAGTAAGAGAGGGAGAGCAGCTGGAATGAAGGAACAAAGGGAAAAGCATGCAGTGCCGAGTACGTGAGGAAGAAATATTCAGGAAGATGGTGATCTCGACCTATATGACAGATTCATCTTCACTGGCAGCTACAACAAGTACAAGAAGAATGGAAATGATGTGCAATGTTAGGTATAATTTTTGTTCCATTTTTTATAGTCATTTTTTTCACATACACAACTTAGTCATGGCTTTAATTTAGTTCTTTCTTGTTTAAAACTTTGTAGTCCTTTCAAAAATTTCATAATCTTGCTTCATTCATTTAAATTATCATATTATTTTGGAAAAATTAAGTGTATGCATATGTCTAATATGGGACTATTGTTTATTCACAAATAATTTCAAGACATCAACTTGATTTTGATTTCCACGGGAAATAAATTAGGTGATTAATGATGGTGATGATATGTGAATCCTGTTTATTCTAATTGTCAGATGCTATAACCACGACTCTTATTATTTCCTTTTGAAAGACATATTTGAGCATTAAACCAATTTGAAAAATCTTGAAGAATACATCCTTAAGTCAAAAGAGGGGGTGAAGTGTCAAAATAGTTTCTTTTTCTGTTCCTTTGAATGCTAAATTCATATTATGCACTGACTGCAAATGCAAATATTTCGATTATCTATTTGTTGTGTGAGATTTTAAGAATTTTCGTAGGCATTTAAAATGATTTCGTACCATGTAAATCAATAAAATTTTGTAGGCATGAGGATCAATCTTGTATGTATTTATATAGGTTTTAGAGGCCCATTATTGAAATTAATTCTCTCTTTATAATAAATATTTGAGTCTCATGTGAGATTTCAAGAATCTTTGTAGAGAGTTAAATTGATTTCCTTATCGTGTAAGATAATAAATCCTCGCAGATATCGTGATTCACAATTTGTATAGTAAATACATAAACAAATTTTTCTAAATAAAATAATAAATGTTATGATTTTAATTAATTAAATTAGTAAATTTGAATTATAATCACATTTTCTAATTAGATCTTTTAGTCATGTGAGATTTTTAAAACTCCGCGGACCTTTAAGATAATTGTACTACTGCATGAGTCAATAAGGCTTCATAGATATAACGATTAAGATTTCTATATTTAAAAATATGCATTATATAATTACGTATTAAAATATATTCAAAGTAAATATTATTTAATCTTTTTATCGTGTGAGACTTTAAATCTCTACAGATATTTAGAATAATTTCGTATCGTGTAAATCAATAAGGTTTCACAAATATGAGAGTAAAACTTATATGTTAATATGGGTTTCAAAAGCCCATCATAAAAATTAAATCTCTTTTATAATCCAAATTAATTTATTTAAGTCCCATGTGAGATTTTAAGAATCTTCATAGAGGCTTAAATTAATTAAATCATTGTGTGGGATAGTAAGTCCTCGCAGATGTATTGATTTTTAATTTTTATAATAAATAAATGATTTTTGCAAATAATCATATAATACACAATTTAGAAAATGAATTAACCAATTAATGTATTTAAATTGTAACCACATTTACCAACTATATCTTTTAGTCACATGAGGTTTTTGAGTCTCCGTAGACTTTTAAGATTATCGTATTATCATATAAGTTAATAAGATTTTGCAGATATAATGATTAAGTTTTTTAAATATATATAAATTATATATTAAATTAAGAAAAACTTCAGAAAAAATGAATGAAATAAAATCAGAAATCAAACCTTTTGCAATAAAGAGAAGAGCTTTAAGTCACTTCTTGGGACTCCATAAGCCAAATAAGCCTGTTAAAAAGAAGAGACATGAAAGCTACGACATATTTTTGAAAAAGTGCATCAAGCCATAATATTGACAGGCCCGCCACGGCATAAGACACAGAAAATCTCACAAAATTTTAAACTTACTTTGGTGCTATGGTTCGCTTGAACATCGACTTAGTCCTCTTCTAAAGCTGTTCAAAGATCCAAAAACCATTTAGTCTCCCATAAACCTCGCTAAATTAACAATTTATCTAAATTGACCAAATTACCTTTGAAAATACTGATAATTACTAATGGGGAAACTTAAGATGCTACAATTTT